CCCTTATTATTAAAATATTATTAGATAGTCAAATGTATGTAGTAACTGGTGTAGAATTCATTTTTTCGATAAGTCTCTTAATTTCGTCTATAAAAATTTGAAACTAAAAAATGAGTCTACTATTCCCGGTCTCCCCTACATACTTGGACATAATATATGATAGTACGTAATGCTATGTGGAATATAATTATATGTAGCCCCATGGTATAAATCATATAAGGAACATAAAATGTTCCGAGACAGTAAAATATCTCGAAAACTATAAGTTTTATAAAAAAATGTATTAGATAAAAGTTGTAGAGTTTAAAAAGGTCTAGCCACTGGCTTCATCAGTTTGACTTTGGGTGGCGTCGCCAAGGTCATGACAACGTCCACACGGATTTTTTAAGTGAGACCCCCCACTTTTTCTTTCATTTTCTTATAGTCCTTGTTGAGACCTTTTCAAAACACTATAATTTTATCCATTTTAGGTCAGCCGTTTAGAAGTTATTGAGCATTTCATGGTGAAATGTCAGCAACTTTAGGTGAATCAAACACGAAAACTGTTCATTTTTTTCGCTAAAACTTATATGTTTTGTTTAGCAGGTCATAAGCTATAACATATGAGAAGACCATTTGATTTAACCGAAACCCAATTTCATATAGGATTAGTGCAGGGTCCTTTATTATGTGGATATAATAAATTTAAATATTGTTTGAGTATCAATTAAATATATATTTAAATATCATTTAAGTACTATACTTAAAATTTATTAAGAGTTTTGTCAGATCTGTTTACAGATTACAAAACTTATTGAAATAAACTTAAAGTATTTCTCAAAAATAGTAACTATATCGCCAACTATATTGATTAATTAATCACATTATATGTATAAACACATATATACATGATCAGTATTAAAAAATCACTTACACCTGCATACAATATCATTACTCATATACAAAAGTTTTTCGCACTTCTCCGTTATATTTACAACTTTAACCGGTGGCTACTCATAAAGCGTACATCGCAAAGAAAGTTGGAGTCTTTAGCTTGATACCGATATTAACACGTCTTAAAAGACATCTGATAACATCCAATACGTGCCGTATTCGTCTTATTAATGCAACGTGAATTACGTGAGTACAGTAACTATCACGCGCTTATCAGGCGTGAAGCGCTTGTAAACAACAAAATCTCGCTAGGGACATCTTGCATTTTTTCCCATTTACTGAAGATTCCGTCACGTTTACGTCGATTAATACGAACTCGCTCTTACGATAGTCGCATCTAATATCGATCTCAATTCATAGGACTTTGTTCACGACCGATCCCCTGTCCATCATCCACATTAATCCCGCAGTTGCTGACATGTGACGAGGAAAAAGTTTGTACAGCATAGTTTTGCTTCGTAGACCATTATCGGTCTGTTCAAAATAGTCAATATAAAAGTGCTATTAATTTGCATACACACATTTCCAACATTAATTTACGTAAGTAATATTACCTCTTTTATCATCTTCTTTTAAGTTTGGACCAATTGTCTCTTTATTAATTATTTGCGTATATAAGATAACCGAGCTCAATGTGGATCCCCTGAGCTTTGAGAATTTTCTTAATTTTTTGCTGAGGTCAAACTTGAAATTAATGGTTACATTCGAAAAAGGGAACATTTCTCAACATTGAAAAAAAAATGAATCATATTCGTCAAGGCTCGATAAAATAACTAATACAACTTAAAATAAAACTTTTAAAATAAAAAATATAAAATAAGTTCTAAAAATTTATTTAAAATACAAAATCATTGAAATTGGTAAAACAACTGATACGACTTACTTGAAATAAAAAATATAAAATAGGTTCCAAAAACTTATTTTTTTTATTTTAAATAAGTTTTCGAAGGCTATTTTTTATTTTAAATAAAAAATAGATTTCGAAAATTTACTTAATATATAAAATAAGAGAAATGTGTATTCTAAATAAAAATTTAAAATAGTAAATATAAAATATTTTAATAATTTTATTTGAATATATGCATATAATTTAAATTTTTATACATTTTATATTGTATTTCAGTTTATTCTTCTTCTTCTTATTGTTCTTTTTTATAATAGCCTATAATTAATATTTAATAATATAAGCCTATAATAAAGCCTATAATTAATATTTAATAATATTAATGCTATTACACTTAGTTAAGCAACAAAAATCATAATAAAAATAATTATATATTGAATATTTGAGTACTATTGGATAATTGGATATTGTAGTATTGAAGATATTCATATACGTATACTTAATATAGTTAATATTATTAAGTTTATATATATGAAACTCTTTAATACTTGAATAGTTCAATACCAATAGTATTCAATACAAATACAATTTATTAGCTTTAATTAAAATCATCCTCTCAAAATTGGCGTCCTTCATGCTCCTTCGGTTTGGTCTCAAGGCCGCCATAGGAAAATAATCTTTTCGCCGGTGCAGATGATGGTAAAGACGTGTTGAACTTAATAAATATCCGTTTTACGATTGGATAGCAGTCCAAAAATTGCACAGTGACATCTTTATCTTGAAAATATTTCATACATTCTAATTGTACGGTGTTTGTTTTCAATTCGTAATATTCTTATCGTCTTCAATTTGAAAAGAAAAAAAAACTTTCTGATACAAAATCATTCCGAGTAGTGGTAGAACTGGTAGATGTATTAACATTAATATATCATCAGCAATATTGATGTATTTATTATATTTTTCTGCCTCTAAGAAAAAAACAGATTCTGCGCGTAATTTTTTTTCTTCTTTGGTATCGCAATTTAAAATAGGAATGAGAAACAGCTACTAATATAGCATCGTTGGCTTCGAGTTGAAGATGTAAAATCATTACATCTTTTTTCCATGTTACATAATAGTATGCTTACAAGACCGGAAGTATATTTGATATATAAAGTTTATTATAATGGCATATTCTGTAGCTTTTGAAGGCTTTCCATTGTTCTTAGCAAAACTGGAATTAATTCGCCGTAAAAAAAGTTATTTTCACTTTGCAACTTATCTAGAGCTTCAGCAACTGGCTGATGACATTGCAAATATTTGTTTAAAAATTCGAGAGAGAGAGAGAGAGAGAGAGAGTTCGGTCTTTTTAATATTAAACAAGCCAAATGCCTCGGTTATTTAATTTAATTTAATTTTAATTTTCATTAAATTTAAAAGACAATCATAAGTAGAATTCCACCGAGTAACACATGGTGACATTGAAGCTTTTTGAGTAATCTTTTCATAAATTTCAGAGCATTTTGATGACTTTGACGTTCTATATGGCTTTGCATTTCTCAAATGCAGATTGATAAATTCGGATAGCTTTATTATCTGAACACTTTTTCTCCTTAAATATTTCTGCAACGTTAGTAGAAGTGATAAGATTTAAGCTGTAAGAAACGCATCGTTGATGACACAGCGTCATTCATTAAGCTTTCATTTAAATCAATTTCAATTATTTTGAGACACTTTTCATCTTCATCTTTAGAGTTTTCAGAGTCAGTGTCATTTGAATTTGAGTCATTTCGATTTGTGCTTGAATCATCGTTAGTAGAGACTAAGATATATGATGGACAATTTGTTGATTAAATAGATCAAAAGTATTTTAATCTTCTTTTTAATGAATATTATAAAGCACTATGTAGTAATATTTTTTACTGTAAGTAAATTTTTCGCTCTTAATATATAACTAATACAACGATATAAACTAAGATACATAAATAATAAGTAAAATGTTTCATTTTTTTATAGTAAAAGGCTGAAGCAAATTTACTCTATTATCTATTACAAAACTAACCTATAATTGGCATAATTGCAAAAATAACTTACTTTTACTTGTGCCAACAGAGTAAGGAATTAGAATATCCGAAATTCGTAAAAGCTTTAACCATATTTCGTGCATTATCCGTAACTATCTTTAGTATTTTCGACCGATCAATTTTAAAATCAATGCAGATTTTTAGCCCCAATTCAGTGATTTTGATCGTGAGTGTGATTACCTTTGAATCTCTTACATGCCAATACAGCATTTTGCCTTTTCAGTTGCTCATTTATCTGTAAATATGAAACTTCTCGTAAGCAGATTACACAATAATTGATTAATTGCAATATTCTTTGAATATCTAAAGCTGAAAATCATAGTCAAGTCTCATAAAGTAAGATGTTTCTGTAATTCTATTATTTCTATTATATTTCTATTATTTCTGTTAATTCTATTATTTTTTATTTCAAAACAATAAAAATAAGTATTTACATTTCAAAATACAAGACTTGATTACGAATTCGAAGTATTCTGACCTGAGTGATCGAATAAAACATTGGCATTTGTAATGTAGGATTGATAAGTAATGAAATAATCTAATAAATAATTATACACAAAGCAAAGTAATAATACAAAATATAATTAAGAATGCTTTGCATTATCCATTTAGAATTAACATGAATAACATGATATATTTAATATATTATATATGTGACAAGAAACAGTAACTTATAGCAGTTATAAGATAAGTTATAACAATCGTGATATATGTCTGAAAAGTTTTGAGCCTAACATAGAAACAAGTAATTTTTCGGTCAAATTCAATTTTATTTTTCCACATAGTCTCCTTTTAAGTCGATACATTTTTTCCAGCGATGCTCCCACCCCTTTAATCCATTCAAATAATACTGACTGTCTTGCTTTGCAAAATAGGCGTCTACGGATGCGATGACCTCGTTCGATGAAAATTTCTGTCCTCCGAGCCAAACTTTGAGCCTAGGAAACAGAAAAAAGTCGTTGGGGGCCAGATCTGGTGAATATGGTGGATGGTTAATTAATTCGAACCGCAATTCGTGAATTTTTATCATGGCGACTGCTGATATTCGATTTTTTCCATTTTTACAAAAACATTGACATTGACTGGCACAAATGACTGTCAAACAACAACTAAGCGCCGGAAGTACCTATAATTTTCGCAGGTATCTTTCAAAATATGTACGATTATAGTATCAAAATTGTTTTTACGAGTAATGCCATCTTCATGTTGAGGCTCAAAACTTTTCAGACGACCTATGTACAATATGTATGTGAAATCTGTAAATTGTGTGACAATTATAAACAGAAAATACATTTCGTTGAAACACTAATGTTCTATAAGTACTTTTAAGCAATAAAACTCAAGTGGTCCTACTTTTTCTTCTTAAAAAATAATAATCATTTTTAATTTCTTCACTTAATAAAACAAAAAAAAATGATATCTTTATTTTTTAATTAAATGAAAATGAAACCCAGATACTAAATTTAAAAAAAAATACTAAATTAAAAAGAATATTTGGTAAAACTTTCCTTTTACACAGCCAGCCCCAAATAAACTTTGAGTGACCTTGATCTTGACCTTGACCCTTAAGAAGGTCAAGATTATTAATCTTTTCCGTCGCTCGTCATTCGTTAAAAAGTTATAAACAGAAAAGTTTCTCTGTTTAAAAATAGATTTTCTGTTTTTTTTAAAAACAAAAATTCTCTGCTTTAAAATAGATTTCTTGCTTTAAAAAAAATTCTCTGCCTTAAGGCTTCTGAGTAGTCACCACAGCCATAGCGATTGAATCGTGACGTCAGAATTAGCGAGGAATGACACATTAATTTATGTTGCATGCCAGTTACCGACCATAACTTTTTAATGAATAATGAGCGACAGAAAAGGTCAATGACCTTGACCTTCTTAAGGATCAAGGTCAAAGTCAAGGTCACTTGGACGTCATTTGAGACTGACTGTGTAAAGAGAAAGTTTTACCCTACTTGAGCTTTATTGCTTAAAAGTAGTTATACAACATTAGTGTTTCAACGAAATGTATTTTCTGTTTATAATTGGCGCAATTTACATTTTTCACATATACTATTTAAAAAATTTTTAAACTTTGATAGTTTGGAATAGGTTTGGAATAAAAAATTGTTTTTTCAAGGAGCATACATACAAGCGTGTATATTTGGCACCTTTTTTTATGTTTTTGTAAAAAAGGTAATTTTGTCGTGATATCATGCATTTTGTACTGTTAATCGTGTAGCACAGCACTAAATTTTTTTATTGTAAAGTTTTTTTGTTTGAAATAAATTTTTTTAATTTATACTTTTACCCTTTTTCAATTCTTTGTAATTAAATTTTACTAAGTTGGAATAGAAAAATATATGACATTTGATTGGGAAAAGAAAGACCTTTAAATGAGAATAAAAAAATATGTAATAATTGTTAATATGGCTCAATTAGAATAAATCAATAAATAAAAGAAGGGTAACGAGCCAATTATAATGTAAGATATTTAATAATCGTA